AGAAAAGTGTCAGGAGACTCTGCAACGGGTACAGAGCGGCAAGAAGGCAGCAGCAATAGAGTCCAACATAGGGTTTCTGTTTTCAGGGTCTAGTCTAAGATTGGAGTGTGAAATCTTCATAAACCCTAAACCCTGAGAAAATCCTGGTGCCCCTGACCATATGAACCCCAATACCCTGGATCCTCAAGCCCCCGTGCTTAACTCATTGATACCGAACTGCTTCCCTAGAACTCAAGGCCCGATGCCCTGAATTTGTCAAATGTTTAGAAATTACGTGGGGTCTTAGTGGAATGAGACTATAATACACGATACTTGCGACGGCTTATTCAGTTCTCGATTTCAGGGGTGGGGCTTGGCACGTCATTCTCAGCAGGAGTTTCACCGAAAGCAAGCGGGTGTTGGGTTTGTAGTTTCAGGGTTTCGGGCTTGGGGTCATCTCTTCCTCCAAGCCCTTAATATTCATGATTAGTATTCGGGTTTGGGGTTTAACCCTCACCCTGAACCCCAAATCGAGTCCTAAACCCTAGCTTCCTGAATCGCCTGCCAGACAACACCCGGACCTACCTACATCTTATTCCGAAGTCAAAAGTCGAACCTCATGCACTCCAAGTTCCAAGGGTTCGCGGCGTGGCTTTTACAAGAAGAGGGAATAGGGTTTAGGTTTAGGGTAGACGGGCCGATGTAGCTCACAAGATAACCCTAAATTGCAGACCCAAAGAATCTCGGTTCCAGGCGAAGGCGGACGACGGCGAAACGGACGCCGAAGCGTCTTTCCTCGGCCGACTCCCAATCGTTTACTTGTTAACCTTTATGCGGGCTTAGGACCTTAAGTTTTGGTTTCTCCAAAATTCTCAAAACAAGACTAGGTGTGTACAGTTACGAGCATTCCTCCATAATGTCTTACCGGCAATTGAAGGTTCACCTCCACCCTAAGTCCTCAGACCCTTGAGCCCGAAACCTTCAAACCATATTCGCTGCAATGCCCAGCACCTCAACAACCCTTTGCGGTATTCAGTGAGACAAGTAAGTTCCCAAAGCCACAGGAGCATTGACACTCCGTTTGCAAGAGTGATGGTGCAGTTCAGGGGCTAGAGTTGTAAGATAAATAGAAGCTAGAAAAGTAATTTTATTCCTTGGGGTGCCTTATTCTAATGTTGCCCAAAGGCTAGAATAATGCATGACCCCATTTATATGCCCCTAAACCCCAAACCCCTAATCCCTATTAGGCCCTAAACCCTAAACCCCTAAACCCCTGAGGCAGAGTCAGGGTGGGATCAATGCCAAAAGGATTTGAGACAGCATCAAGAGCCGGAGACTAGGTAGTCGCGTAGGCAACCTTTAACCTTTTTTCAGGGTTCCTTTAAAGGGGTCTGTAAGGGATCTATAGTAGGGTTCTATAATTGTAACCTTTAACCTTTTTGGGGTAGTATAGCCCCTCTATAATCTCTACATAAACCAAAAAGGTAAGCCTTTAGTTCCCCATGATACGCCACAAGTAGGGCTATGGACCATCCGAGCCTAGGAAACCTAAGCATCAAACGCAACCACAAACAATTGTACCAGGACCACCCAAGACCCCTTTGGTAGAGTCCTTATGGTTTTCAATCGTGGTTATTTGGGGGTATATTAGAGGGTAGTTGGGAGTTTCAGGTGGGCTGAGAGTTTAGGAATAATTGTAACGACACCAAAAAGAGCTGATTGGGGAAGCATAGAGTACAGAGAACTTTACCCAGAAGGGTTTCATAGACACTACTATTCTGGAATTAGGTCCCAAAAGACATGCTAGGGATGGTCTTTTGGGACATAATTCCATAGTAGTATTGTATATGGACCCTCTGGGATAGCGAAACCAACAAGAGCAACTTGAGGAAGCTCGCAGGAAGCAAGATCGGAATAATGAGTCGTACCAGTACTTAGGGTGGCTCATTACAACTGTAGCATCGTATACCCCCCAAACCCTATCTAACGATAAAAGCGGCCCTGATTTCAGGAAGTAGCACTTCGAGTACAGCCACCTTGCGTGAGCTGTCATGTAATCGATTGCTTGTGTAAAGGCCAGGAAGATGCCAAGTGAGCCCTAAACCTTACCTACAGATGAAATAGTAGCGAATAACCTACAGTAGCTTCTTAGGATTTCGGGGTTCCTCATAAGTTTTAAAGATGTCCTTTTATGAGTCCTTCGAAACGGATGTTTTCCCGGGTTGTATCGTAAGCCTAAACATTAATGTTCCAAGGCATGAAACCGTCAACCTTCCCCGGGAAAATCCAATCCCTGAGCCCTGAGCGTCCAATCCTCATCCCACCTGGGTGCGCGCCTTCCGACGTGGCTTGAAGGTCGCTTCAGCAAGACCGACAACAAACAAGCTCCAAAGCCCTGAACCCTCAGCCCTCAGCCCAAGCCCATCACCTCCAAGACAGATTGACATTTAGGAGATTCAGAAATGAAAGACATGAGATCCTTACTATGCCGGTACTCTAGTTTTTTTGAGGTACCCTAAGTTTGAAGAACTTGCCCTGCAATCAGAACAATGTTCTCCTGACTCTATACCCTAAGCTCTACATCCTCATAATACCCTTATTACGTCCGCTCTAAGGCTATACTAAAACCAACTCCCATAAAAGCTCTATGTAGCTTGCGCGGCCGTGCCGGTTTCCAGACGGCTTGGGCCTCGGCACCCTCCCGAAACCAGAAACCCTACCTGGGGATCCCAAGACCTGCCATTTTAAGGGGTCGACCTTCTAATTAAGGGGTCATAACCTACTATGTTAGGGTTTGGGGTCACAGGTACACCCATTATCATAGGGCTGAAATAAATACCTGTACTAATTCGGGGGTTCCTTATTACTACAATTATAGTATAATGGGCCCCAAGACCCTATTCCAATTATAAAGGCCCCTACATTAAACCCTACGCAAACTAGAAACCCTAAACCCTTCATCTTACAGGCTTCTCAGAGTTCGGTTTCCGTGTGTTTATCAAGCTGAAGCAGTTTTCTAGAGGTTTGTTCTTCCTCTGGGACGGTGAAGGATTTAGGGCATTTGGAATCGTCGTTTGCTGCGTTGGTGTAGGCTTTACGGTTCAAATTTTGGAATTTTGATTTGTGTCTTTGTAACCAAGAGGGTCCAAGTACCGAAATAGTAGGGTTTTAGGTCCCAAAATCCATACTCTGAATGGTTTTTGGACCTTGAAACCCTACTATTTGGGTACTTGGACCCTTAGGGTAAGAGCCTTACACAGAGGGACGTTCGTAAATCGGGGCTTTGCATTAAAGGCCATGGCTCGGGACAGGGTTTAGGGTTTAGGATTTAGGGTTTAGGGTTTAAGGGTTCAGGGTTTAGGGTTTAGGGTTAAGGGTTTAGAGTGTAGGGTTTCGGGTTTAGAGTTTAGGGTTTAGGGTTTAGGAGTCCTTAAGAGGGAGTGCTTCACTGGAAAAGTGTTGGGGAACCTTGGAGATAGCTGGGGAAGCTGAGTGAGGGCTGGCAAGCGGATTACCAGGTTCAATGATACACCCTTTTGTCCCCTTCCTTAAGGTTACCTCCTGTCGCCTTTATAAAACTTAACTCGCCACGTATGTTCAGTTAGGTTTGGCCTTTATAAGTAGTTCCCAAAGGGGGCACCCTTAATAAGGACCCCGAGGTATATACCCTTAATATAGCTAGTATATACCCATTATATAGCCCATAATAGAGCAGGGGTCCCCATTAAGGGTCCCTCCTTTTCCCTTTTGAGTAGTGGGATGTTTGCAGGTTTTGAGTTTCGGGGTTTATGGTTTGCAGCTGCTGGTCTTTCAGGACCCCCGGGTGTAACTAGAGTTTGCTATTGGGGTCCCGACCCCAAACCCCCAAACCTCTAAACCCTAAACCCTAAACCCTAAAACCCTAAAACCCTAAAACCCTAAACCCCCAAACCCCTAAACCATGTTTAGGTAGGATTTGGGTTTAGGGTTCAAGGCTGAAACGGAAGAGCCGCTTGTGGCTCTGACGGCCAATGGGAAAGACCAGGATGATGCCTAAACCCTAAACCCTAAGCCCTAAGAAAGTACGTCGGGATCGTTCATGGATACCTGAGAAGCGATGACTTCTTTATGTGGATGGTTGTCAAAATTATGGTCCCCCTTTTTGGGAACCCTAAATACTAGGTGCCGTACCTACTATATTACGGACTCAAAAAGGGACCATAATTTTGACAACCACCCCTTTGTTGTGGATCATTCCGGACCGCCAGCGCATTTGTACGCCAACGTTGAGGAGGGCTTTGTACTTGGTGAGCGGAAGGTGACTTACCTTATTGCCGGGGTTCCTATCAAGGGGGTCGTGAAGAGAGGTCCCCTTCGTGAAGAAAGAAAACGCGGGTAGACCTCGGAGACGATGGCACATAATGGTGGAAAGGTTGCCTGCGTTGATGTGGTGAGGTGCTCCCTGATGTATGGCACGGCGAGTAGGAGTATTGCTTTCGACTTCATGTCCGGGGAGTTCAAGACACCAGCAGAAGCACTATCATGTGTATACATAATATCCTCATGTATATATATATATATATAAATATATATATATATATATACACACATATAATTATCCCAGAGGGTCCAAGTACCCGAATAGTAGGGTTTTAGGTCCCAAAATCCATACTCTGAATGGTTTTTGGACCTGGAAACCCTACTATTTGGGTACTTGGACCCTTAGGGTATATATATATACACACACGCACATATATATATATATATATATATATGTATGGATATGGCAGAAGCTTGCAAAGCCCTGCGGTGACCACCTGCATTGGCACAAGGTGCTCAGCAAATCCCACCAGCCTGAAGTGACGCCTATAAAGCAGAAAGACAACTTCACGATATCATGGATAAAACGTGATAGCACAAAACAAACCAGAACACTAAATCATCACCGACCCTGAAGTATAAACCCTGAGCGACCGTCCAAGACTGCAAGCCCCAAACCCTAAAACCATACACCTTCAGGGCCCCGGGACTCAGATTGCGAGATGTCCTTCGAGGACTTACTGCGGGTCCGTGAGTTCTCGTTAAAATGTTAACCCAGAGACTCCAACATCCCCTAAACTATAGTAGGATCCCTGATATGATTTGGGGTGGATGATATTGGAGTCTCTGGGAACTTCCCTAGGTCAGATAAGGGTTCCTCGTTCCTTCAAGGGTCATTGGGTTTAGTGGTTCTTCAATGTTTGGAGTATGCGGTTCTGCGTTGAGCATTTCATGAGGGTATCCTTTTGAAGCTCACGAAGGGATAAAGTGTACCTGAATATCGAGGGGATGCTGGACGACTGTCTGCAGCTTGCGTATCCCCATCCTCAAGATACCCCGAAAACCCTAAACCCTGAGCCCTAAGCCTAACATTAGTTTGGGAAGCCTGAGCCGGTAAATGTGGCAAAACCCTATTGGAACTGTTGATGATATAAATCCTGCATTACCTTAAGAACCCTAAACTATGGTAATCATTGTACATTCCTGATTATGGGTAGTGCAGGATTTAAATCATCAACCGAAGCATTAGGACGGGAGTGCTACCAGCACTTACGAGCGCCTGCCAGCTTAAGGGTCCCCGGTATTCAGAAAAGCCTCTACACTTAGGAAGAGATGGTGTTCTTTAGGTACCTGACCCAAAGGCTCCATGTACCCTTATAGTAGAGACTTAAGCCCTAAAGGGGTCCCTATATAGGTACTTTAAGGCCTAAGTATATACTAAATGGGTACATGGAGCCTTAGGGTGAGGATTGATTGTTTGGCGTTGACCCTGTCGTCCCTTCCGGGATGCCTCAACAAGGTTGAGCTCCACAGGTTCGAGAGGCCCATTTCTGGTGGTTTAGGTCCAGCTTTTGGGGTTAGGGGTTAGGGTTTAGGGTTTAAGGTTCAGGGTTTAGGGGTTAGGGTTCAGGGTTTAGGGTTCAGGGTTTAGGGTTTAGGGTTTAGGGTTCAGGGTTCAGGGTTTAGGGTTTAGGGTTGCTGAGCTTGCATGGCCATGACTCGTCGGCAATGAAGATCTCACGCATGCTCAGTTCGCCGGCGCGCGACACAGTGGCACCGTGAGCTATGGTCACAACCCTCGGTTTTTGCAGCACAAAGCCTTAAACGTAGAAACCCTACTCGTCCGAGGCGTTCTTCCTTCTACGACTATGTCCTATCTCGTTCGCTTCCAATCCCAAAGTTGCCCGTTTGGGTCAACGTGGTGGGATGCGCGTCATTGGCGCTTTTACTGCAGTTTTCTTCTAAGCCAGCCCTTGTGGCAATTTTCCTTTCCTGTCGCCGCCAGACAGCCGTGGCAGCTCAGTTCGCCGGCGCGCGTCACAGTGGCACCGTCTCTGCCTACGGCTACGATGAGTGCCGCGCCGTGCAGTTCTCATCTCTCGCTGTGGAGAGAACCGTTGCTTGGAGGGGCAGGGGACTTAGTAAGTTGTTTATAAGTAGGGTTATAATTCCATTTAGGGTACTTATAGCTCTGCTTATAACTAAGTCCCCTGCCCCCCCAAGTATCATCCGCTGAAGAATCAGATCCCCGCTCCTAGCCCCTAAGGACTCAACCCTAAACCCCCCTTAACACCCCTAAACTCCTTGACCCTAAAACCCCCCTAATTCCCTAAACCCCCCCTAAACCCCTAAACCCCTTGGCCCTAAACCCCCTCTAAACCCTAAATCCCCCCCCCCCAACCCCTAAAGCCTAAAGCCAAAAATCCGGTTCGTCGTTTCCTGCAGCCGAAGGCGAAAGTTTTTGTAGATCTCAGATTTCCTAGGCAGTCTTGGGGAGAGCCGGTAAAGGGTACCTTTCTTAGCCCTACTTCTGGCTTTCTTGTAAGGGACCTTACTGAGAGGGTCTTTCTCCCCCACGGTCCCCTAATCCTAACTCCCAATCCAAAAACTCCATTATACACCCTTATAGATCCCTTTATCCCTTAATTGAGGAACATACCACTAAGATTTCCTTACAGGGCTCCTTAACGGGATCTACAAGGGTTCTATAATGGCATTAATTAAGGACGATACCGTAAATTATAGCAGGATCCCCAATATGACTCAATGTATATTCCTTCACTAAAGGATTTTGGAGTCTCTGGGTAGCTGAGTAGGTAGCCTCTATCCTTTTGGTTAACTACTTTGGGCTACGGTACTCAGACCCTAAGTAAGAGATCATGCTGAAGTTACGGGATGAAGGTTCAAGGGTTTAGGGTCTGGGGTTTTAGGGTTATGGTTTTTGGATTGAGGGTTCGGGCCTAGGATTTAGGGTTTAGGGTCTAGGATTTTTGGGGTTTAGGATTGGTTTTAAGTTTGGAGTTCCGGGTGATCTGGCAAAAACCCCAAACCCTAAAACCATAAACCCCTAAACCTCTATTACATACCGATGTATATGTATATATAATATTTACATTAGAGAGAGATAGAGAGAGAGAGAGAGAGAGAGAGAGAGAGAGAGAGAGAGAGAGAGAGAGAGAGACAGAGACAGAGACAGAGACAGAGACAGAGACAGAGACAGAGACAGAGAGTCTCCAATGACTACTTTAACTTTGTCTGGCAGGATTCTCCGCGGCCACCGCGAAACCCGCCGCCGACGAAGATACGACCGCAAGACTTTTGGCCACGATTTGAGAGTTTAGGCTTAGGGTTTTGGGTTGAGGGTTTTGTGGCTTAGAGTTTTAATTACAGGCTCAAAGGCTCCATGTCCCTGTATCGTAGATACTTAAGCCTTAAAGGGGTCTCTTTATCGGTACTTTAAGGCCTATAGGTATCTACTATATGGGTACATGGAGCCTTAGGGAGGGTTTTTAGGCTTCTGCGGTTTTCAGGGACCTGAGGGGCATGGGTTCTGAACAGTCTGCGATATTCTCGGGGGGGGACCCAAAATGGACGGTTTAGGGGTGTAGAGTTTAGCTTTTAGGAGGATATAAGCACGTTTAGGAGGATATAAGCATAAGTGTCCTATAGGGATTTCCCTACCGTTTTGGGCTTCATTGGAAATTACAGCTGGGGTGAGACAGTGCCATATCACAAGGGTCCTGAGCAACGACAAGCTGGCACATGTCCGGGCTCAGATTGAATCCAAAGCCCGAGCCCACCTTTCCAATGCGCTGCCCAGCACGAGTGCATAAGCCCTGAACCGCCTGAAACCCTAAACCCCAAACCGTGCAGTAGCCTCTTGCTGCGGCATGCCTGTGTGAATTGCAACCTTTCTGTGGGCATCTCGACCGACGCTCGCTCCCCGCCCTAAACCCTAACACCCTAATCCCTGAACCCTACACGCAAGGCTTCGGCGTGTAGTGTTCAAGTTTGAAGGCTAAACGGGTTTTGGGGTTCATGGTCTAGGCTTTAGGATTTAGGTGTTAGGGCATTGTTCCGGATATAAGGCTGTGGAGTTTACGAGTTTTCGGGTTTCGGGGTTAGAGCCTATAGGGTTCTGGGTGAAAGGCTTTGTGGTTTCGGGTTTGGGGTTCAGGGTTTAGGGCCTACAGGGTTCAGGGCGTGAGGGTTTGGGTTCATGATTTAAGGTTCAGGTTGTAGTTCTGCCAGCGGGTACTAGCAACCTAAACCCTAAACCCCTCACCCCTAAACCCAAAACCCCTAAACCCCTAAACCATAAACCCTGAATCCTAAACCCCGAAACCCCTAAACCCCTAAACCCTAAACCCCGAAACCCCTAAACCCCTAAACCCTAAACCCTAAACCCCTAAACCCCGAAACCCCTAAACCCCGAAACCCCTAAACCCCTAAACCCTCAAGTAACAGCAAAACCCCTAAACCCTTAAGTAACACCAAAACCCCTAAACCCCTAAATAACAGCAAAACCCCTAAACCCCTAAGTAACCCCAAAACCCCTAAAGCCCTAAACCCCTAAGTAACCCCAAAACCCCTAAACCCCCAAATAACACCAAAGCCCCTAACCCCTAAACCCCGAAACCCCTAAACCCCTAAACCCCTAAACCCCTAACCCCTAACCCCTAACCCCTAAACCCTAAACCCCTAAACCCTAAACCCGAAACCCCTAAACCCCTAAACCCCTAAACCCTAACCCCTAACCCCTAAACCCTAAAACCCATACGCCCTAAACCCCTAAACCCTAAACCCCTAACCCCTAAACCCCTAAACCCTAAAACCCCTACGCCCTAAACCCCTAAACCCCTAAACCCTAACCCCTAACCCCTAAACCCTAAAACCCCTACGCCCTAAACCCAAAACCCCTACGCCCTAAACCCTAAACCCCTAAACCCTAAAACCCCTACGCCCTAAACCCCTAAACCCTAAACCCAGACATCATCAGGATCTTCGGGGCTCCCTGTGGCCGATTCTCTGTCCACTCTCAAAGAATCACTTAGATCCCCAGGGATCCTTAGGTTCTCTAGGGGCTTATGGGCTTCCCTTAAAGGGATCTATAAACTATAAGGGCTTCTTTAAGGTATCGCTAACGCCACACCTCAAGGATCCTCGCGCCTTTTACCCTAAACCCCAAACCCTCACTCCTGAAAAAACCCTAAACCCTAAAACCTAAGCCCCTAATCCCTAATCCCTAATCCTAAACAGAAGCCTAAGCCGTAAACTTCAAAGCCTTGTGAGCCTAGATCATCTCTCGAACTTTGGGGCCTCTTGCTGGGAGATCGTTTTGGGGGACCTGATGTAGGGTTTTAATAATTCAAATGGGCTTTGCGGGTATATTATACTAAAACTATGATCAGGAGCCCCAAAACCCCATATTCTAATTGTTAAGGCCGCTGCATTACTAATTATGCGTTGTTTTGGTTGAGGCGTTTATGGTGTAGGGTTCAGCGTCCTACTTCAGTACACAGCTTCGGTGACTTTTTCTGAACCTGCTCCTGGAGATCCCCAAACCATAGACTACCTTCTTTCAGGGCTCAGGGTAACTATATTTCAAAAACACTTGTAAACCCAGTTAGGTTACTTATAACTGTATTTACGAAGTCCCACGAAGCTCCAAGTAGAGTTTGCCTGGCTGCTCCATGTTAAAACTTGGTACGAGCGATTCTGACGTGGGTGTAGGGTTTAGGACTTCGTGGTTTTAGGGTTTGGGGCAGAGCATGGTGCATCGAAACCCCAAACCCTAAACCCTAAACCTGAAACCCGAAACCTGAACCTTAAACCCTAAAGCCCTTAATAAAAACAACTGTTGGGATTTGTATGTGCAGTGAAATCTGAGGCGGCCACCGTTCGGCGGCTGCAGGCGCCCTCGTGGTTAGTTTAGAGAACTTCAGGGGTGCCATAAGAAAGTTCCCGAAAATTAGTGGTACCTTAGTTTGGGGTCCTTATAAGAAGGATCCTACTACTTAGGGTAGTTACCAAATTAGGGTCCCCTATTTTCGGAAACAGTTTGGGTTTTTGGACTGTCGCAGCTGGCGGGCTTAGCAGGAAACGGCGGTAAAAGGCGTAGGAATTTTGTAACATGGCGGACACCTCGTCTGGCATCTCAGGTTTCTTTAAGGATTTTCGGGGTTTGGCGATTTTCGGTTTGGGCTTTGACTTGTGTATCGTAAGGATCTACCCGGGGCTGGTCCACAGTGTCAGGGAAAGGCGTTTGAGCTGCAACCTTCGGCTCACCCAAATCCCCCAAAGCCCGAAGTTTTCCCTAAACCTACCCAATCTCCCTAAACTTGACACTGCTCTGTGGTATGTTAAGGTGAGCGACTGTAAGCAGTCGCTGATCAATTGCAGCATCTCCTGTGCGCTGGATATGCTGGCCTCACGTGGCACCAGGCACATTGTCCCTAGCCCTAGCCCACCGATTGGAATCAACTCGTTTCAGCACGGCGGACAATGAGAGCTTGGCCAGCTTCTGCATGGGCAACTCAGACTGGTGTTTGTGCGTGCTGGGTTCCAGCGAGGACCAGTTTTCATCGAGCCTGGCATCCCGCGACGGTGCGGTCGGAGTGCTCCGGGCCGACTCCCCGTACCGGATCGTACGAGGGGCTCCAGACCGTCTCGTCAAACATGACCCAAGGCCTCATGCTGCCAACTTTGAGGCGTGTCAAGGACCGTGTGAATTTTTTCTGGAGCTTCGATGGCACGTCGATGGCGAGGAAGGGCTGGGGTAAGGTGTCCTTGAATGCATCAGGGCGAGGGATCTTGGAAGGGTTCACGCAGAAGGTCCGCATGAGAGTGTTCAGTTCTTCACTCTTGGATTGCATGGTACTGGGCATACTCATCTTGTGCAGCCCCGCTTTGAGTGTCATCAAGAAGGAGGTGACCAGCGAGTCTGCTACAGCATCCGCTCCTAACCGCCCGCATGCGACCTTCAATGCAAGTTTGAGGTCCAAGCACGGTCAGTCCCCTGCTGGAGTGCGGAGCCTAGGAGTTCACCCAAGCTGCATGTGCAGCAGCTTCGCTGACAATGGTGACGACGGTCTTTCTGGCTTGTCGACCAGGAAAGAAGAAGAAAGGAGCCGCAACGCCGTGGCTGTCCGACTTTCAACAATGCCTGTACTGCTCTCTTGCAGCAGAGCTTCATCAGCGAAGCTTCGAAGACTGCATTGGGACCTAAATACCACAGAGCAGTGTCAAGTTTAGGGAGATTGGGTAGGTTTAGGGAAAACTTCGGGCTTTGGGGGATTTGTGTGAGCCGAAGGTTGCAGCTCAAACGCCTTTCCCTGACGCTGTGGACACACCCCGGGTAGATCCTTACGATGAACAAATCAAAGCCTAAACCGAAAATCGCCAAACACCCTAAATTCTCAAAGAAACCTGAGATGCCAGAAACCCTAACTTTTCAGCTTCGGCATGGGGCCCAGAGATTCTGGGAGGACAGGGGGCAGAAGGGTTTCGGGGTTTAGGGTTTAGCCAACCTGATAGTCCTGCCACAATTGAAAAGCTTAATTTTCTGGGGCTAGGTTACTCAGCCCCCCTTCTCAGTGCAGGATAACATTCACAGGATAGCTGAACGTTCCACACTCGGGACCGTGCCTCCTCTCGCAGCATCTGCATCATCTGCCGCTAGCGGCCTCAGACACGTAACAACGTTAGGCGTGAACTTTATTCAGACTTGTCTATACTTGCGTATTGATTGGGCCCTGGGTTTAAGGTTTCCGGAGCCCTAAACCTTAAGCCTTTCCTGTTGGCAGCTCACAACTTCCGGCGCAAAATGTATAAGCCCATGACATTTCCTGTAACTTTTGTATATATCCTCACCACCCAGTAGTCATATCGAAAGCCCTCAAGCCAGGTCCTATGCCCACCTGTATCCCCAAACCCTACAAAATAGTAGGTTATGACCCCTTAATTAGGAGGTCTAACCCCTAAAACGGTAGGTTTTTGGATCCCCAGGTAGAACCTCAACCGAAAAGCTCCCAACCCCGAAAACCCTTGTCCGAACTTTAAGCCCTAAACCCCGAGAAAAGCACAGGCGGTGAAGCAGGAGGTTCCCGAGCCGAGTCGCTCCTCGAAGGATCCGGACCGCCAGGCCGCTGTTGGGCACAGGTTTCAGGTTTGAACTTGGGGGTTTTCCTGTGGGTCCGAAAACTTTTAAAGGTTAGACCAAAAGAAGGGTTTATAACCTACTGATTGGTAAGGTGTTGGATTACAGCTTGGGTTTAGGGCTTGGGGGGGTATGACAGTTTGTTCTTGCTAGTAGTTCTCTTGCCTTCAACCAGAAAAGTATAATTCACTAACTTGCGGAGAATCGTGTTGGTGACGCTGATATGGTTGACGATGCAAGCCTTTAAGCCTTAAGACTCCAATCAGACAAGTTGGGTGAAAATGTATATACAAAGTGCCTGCTTCGGGGTATTTGGAGTGTTAATTATAAGGTAGCCCAAAAATCCTAATGCCATTTAAACTGCTACCCTAAACTCTTCCTTTCACCGGAACACTTCGGGAAGGCCAAGATCAAGGCTCTCGCTGCCCAAATCCGGGCGAAGGCGCCTGCGCCCAACGGCGTCGGGTTAAAAGGTTAACGTTTAGGGGTTCTCTGAGGCTTCCCTTTTTAGGGTTGCATAAGCACCTATACTATTGTGGGGGCTCCTCATTACAATCATAGTAATTATCATGGGCCCCACAACCCTATTCTAATTATCAAGGATGACTATTAAAGGTTTGAGGTTTAAGGGTTCAGGGTTTTGACTTATGGAATCCTTGAGGGATGGGGGTCCGATGGGGGTTATATCGCCGATAGATTCGCTGTGCTTCCTAGATTCCCCTGTACCCCCCCCCCCCCCGGATGAATCACCTTCCTTTAAGGTTTATAGCGGCTCCGTATAGGAGTTTAGGGTTTGAGGTGTTTAGGGTTTAGGTTTACGGTTTGGGCTTTGTTAAGGGTTTGGTCGGTGTTTCAGTCAAGGTTTCAGGGCTGCGGGGGCAGCATAGACGTGCATGAGAACAAGGCTCCTGTGCACTGTATCCCTGAAGCCTCAAGATGTGTGGTCTTGACAGGGTTTTTTTGGGGTCGGTTTAGGGATTCGAAGCCGTGGGGTGTGTTTGAGTGCTCGGGTTTCAGTCGTTGTTGTTGTGGTGTCTTGGCGGCTGAGCGTTTGAGTGTTGTGGTACCAGTCAGGGGCTCCGAAAGGGGAGGACAATACCCTACTTAGTAGCTGAGTGGATACACTTTGCACTTTTTGGGATAGTATTACCCGCTATGAAACTAAAAGTGTGCACTTTTGTGGGGGCTTATGAACTCAGCAACTAAGCCTAACCTAAACAGCAAGGACCACTATCTGGACCATTGCAATGAGACGGAAATAATTGCCCCAAATTCTGACTGAGCCCTGAAAACTTGAATCCCAAACTCTAAACCCTAAGCCCGATAAACCTAACTCGAAATCCCAAACCCCATGCCCTAAACTCGAGACCCCGAAACCCATATCCTAAACTCGAACCCTATCTCACATGAATGAATACTTGTCCCTAAGGCTCCACGTACCCAACTAGTATATACTTGGGCCTTGAAGTACCTATATAGGGACCCCTTACAGGCCTAAGTATCTACTATAAACGTACATGGTGCCATTGGGTTTTCTGACTCCTTAACCCAAAAAGCCCTAAACTAGCCCAGAATCCTACCCTAAACCCCCGAGCCCCGAACCCTAAACCAAGCCCAAAACTCCTAAATCTCCTAAACCGTAAACCCCAAAACCCTATAAACCCTATAGATCCCTTTAAAGGAACCCAAAGACTAAGCCCTAAAGACTACCTAGACCCCCCAAGTACCCTTTATAGTAGTCCCTAGTTACCTCTTAATGAGAAATATCAGAGCCCAATTAAAACCCTAAAACTCCCGACCAAAGCCCGAGTTCGCAGGCGCGGCGCGCTGCTGAGGAGGAAGATGCGGAAGTGGAGCCTGAGGAGGCCAAAAGCTGTAGGCTTCCTTCAAAGGGTTGCTTTAAGGGGTTCCTTTATATATTAGTGCCTATAGTTCCTTTCAAGGGGAACCCTAAGACCCTAAGACCCTAAACCTTATAGATCCCTAATGGGGGTCTATAAGGTTTAGGGTCTTAGGGTCTTAGGGTTCCCCATAAAAGGAACTCTGGGAGTTCCTTTATTTAAAGTGATCTATAAGGCTTCCTTTAAACGGTTCCTGTAAGGGTTCCTTAAGAGATCCTGTTCTAGTTATTAAGGACCCAAATTAGGCTTCCTTATTTATGGATCTATGGGGATCCAACAGCCTACCGTTTTAAGGGTTCTATATTCTCTAATCAAGGGGTTATAACCTGCTAGTTTGTAGGGTTTGGGTGGGAGCTTAGGGTTTAGATCTTTTGCCGGTTTAGTGCTTAGGGTGGGCATTTTACTTGACAAACGGGGCTGCACTTGAGGGTTTATGTAGGCAGAGCTTAGGGTTGGGTGTAAGGTTTAGAGTTTTGGGGATGCGGGACTATAGGGCTTTTAGAGCATGTTCAGTGGCATGTAGAGCTTTGTACGTACTGGATTTCAGGTTGGAGGGTTAAATGTTTTGAGGCATCCCATTTGTACATATCGAAGAGAAAGACAAAATGCATGCATGAGCACTTCTTCTCACACTCTGGTTTTGGAAAGCTGTGGTTCGTGTGCATGCTTTCACTGACCGCAGGGAAGAGACATGGCGTGGAGCATATACGCCTATGTGGACAGGCAGAGAATACTGTAGGTTACCACCTGGTAGGTGGTCTACACACATCAAAGTAGTTCCTTGGCTTCAATACAACTAGGATGCTGTATAAGGACACATGAGCAAACATAAGAATAAACACAACCCCGAGGCCCTAAGAACCCGGAAACCTAACCCTAACCCATAAACCGTAAACCGCTAGACCCAAAACACAGTATGTTGGCTTCCATACCTAGACCCCACAAGTACCCTCGACTATACCACAAGTATCACGTGTTGGGGTTTAGGGAGTGCCCAATGTCTCTTGAACGTTTGGGATCCACTTAAATCCCCTTTTAGGGTTTACCATTGGGATCCGAAAACCTACCGTTATAAGGGTTCGACCCTCTAATTTAGGGGTCATAACCTACTATTCTGTAGGGTTTGGGGCCACAGGTAGGGTTTGGGATTTATGGTTTGTTCGGAGCGATGGTAGCGCTTCAGGATTCCGGGCCCCAACGGGTCTTGGGTCTTGGGTTTAGGGTTTAGGGCTTAAGGTGTGGGGTTTTTAGGGTTTATCAGGACTTACTTAGAATCCTGAAGACCTGACCCCAGGCACCGCGCATGCCGCCGGATGAGCAGGTGCTACCGCGGGGAGCAGGGCGTTTGCAGCGGGATTGTTTTTCCGGTGTCATTGCCTTTTCTGCGTGGCGCCTTCCCTGCGTTAAATTAAACCCTGCACCCTTGGGTACGGCCCCCACTCAGTAATAGTTGAGTCATATTCATAATATAGATAATATTAGGACCTTAGTAGTAGCCCTATTATAGACTCTTACTGTATGGGGCCCAGAATGGAGCCGAAGCCTGAAATCCCCGAGACTTACCTCTGCAATCCGAAGTTAGAGCCCTGGATTGAGGGTTTTGGATGGTTTTGGGGTTTATAGGCTTGAGGGCTTGGTTTACAAAGCCCCAGAAACTGCTGCATGCCCAGCGGAATGTGTGTTTTACTATTCGAAACAAAACCTTCCAAGGCCATCTAGAACCCCAAACTTTGCAGCAAGAACGCAATGACAAATTGCTACACCCCAGATTTCGTGCGTTAGTAGTTATCCTGAATATTACTTCATGTTTGAGCAGCTTCAAGTCCTCAGAGAAATCTTCACCCCCCAACCCAATGCCATCCGATAAGCTGCTTCTTTTCCTTTTCCTCCCTTTCACTCTTAGCTTACATCTCTCAAAGCAGCCCTTGACCCCAACCTAAACCCGTAGCATCCCTGCAGAAGCGCAACGTTTTCCTGAGGACACCGCCCGACTCGAAGGCATGATCCAAGGCTTAGATCAGAAGGCGGCCCGGAAGCGCTGTTTGGGCCCAGACCTTCCAAAATGCCTTAATTAAGGAATATACCTTAAATCATAATAGGATCCCTAATATATGATTTAAGGTATATTCCTTAATTACGGCTTGCGCGCCTAAGCAAAACTACCGCTCGAAATGTTGACGACGAGGAAGACAACGATGATGATGAAAAATACGGTGGTCACGATGATATCGATGGCGATGGCGATGATGATAACGATGATGATGACGATGATGATAACAATCGTGGTAGCAATGATGATGACCTAGCGATCTGGCAAAGGTGACTGTGCAAAGACCTTTTGCCCCATGCCTTTTCCACCCACAAACCTCAACAAACTTGCCGCGACCTTCAAAGTCATCGGCCCCACCAGTGTTTTCGCCTTCTGCCGTAAGACTAGCTTTGCAGCCCAGGTCCGGAGAATAAATTCAGGCCGGCTTTTCCCAGCACGCAAAAAGCCCACTGCTCAACACATTGATGACGATGATGATAACGATGATGATGAGAATGATGAAGATGATGGTGATATCGATGGTGGCTGTGAGGATGATAGCGATGTTGACATCGATGATGATAGCGCTGATGGTCGCCTAGGGCGCCCAGAAAACTGGACACGAAATCGTGTCCGTTCTTGCTTCTGCCACAATACCGCTGGGGAAGGTCAAAACGTGCGATTTTGCTGCACCTGCCGCACTTTTGTTCACTTCCCTCGGCCGCTCCTCTGTAGGTTTTGTCTTCAGGGTAGTTGTTTTTAGGCGCGTGCGCCTTAATTAAGGGATCTTGGAAGGTCTGGGGGTTTAGAATCGAACTCGCGGCTCCGACATGCCTTAAAAGGGGCTCCTATCTCGTATAATCATGACAGAAAATAGCATACCCCAAACCATCCCCCTAGCCATATTCTCTTGTTTCCTCTCTGGTATATGAGCTAAGTTGATGTACAGAAGGAGCGGAAAGTTTAGAGCGTGTTTCTTTCCACTTATGTCTAGATAGCCCAGAAGAGCCGGAAAAAAAGAGCTGAACCTAGGGTTCCTCATTATTATAACGGTTTAAGGTTTACGGTTTAGGGTTTATAGTGTGGGAATTGGGGTGCGTTTTTTTGGGTATCGGAAACCAGAAATAAGGACCATATACTTGGACCTGTGGGGACAGCAACTGGCTGGGATCCAGAAACCTGTCGTTTTAAGGGTTATAGACTCTTAGATCCCATAGGTAAGGGGTCATAACCCACCGTTTTCGAGCTACAGGTATACTTTATTAGGCTTTGGGGTTCTGGGTACAAGGTCTAGTACGACAATGTTCCCCCCAGCCACATTTAGATGATAAAGGCTCTATATTCACAATCGGAAGAGGCATTGCGAATTTCGTGCGAGCCCCACACCTTAGGCACCCTTGAAGCCTCCGATGCGTTCCGCTACGACCGGGAAATCCTTGCATGTTCCGTGGACAAACTGCAAGGACACATGCCAACACAACGGGTTTAGAGTTTTGGGGGGTTTATACAGGGTGTAGAGTAACTTCACCAGGCTGCCCCAGGCGCTCAACGCCATCGCCTCAGGAACGGAACCCTAAACCCTAAACCATTGGACCATGCCCAGTGACCGGCAGCTCTTGCAAGTGCAGCCTGCAGACTGCGAAATCCTGTTAGGGTCCCTACACGCCCAAGGCCTGAAACCCCAAACCCTCAACGCTAAGCAAGCATAAGCCTCAAAAGCCCTCCGCGAAGGTGGCCCACACCGAGGACGAAATCGAGCGCATCGGCATCCTCGCGGCGCCGTTGTCCATGGAGGTCCCCACTTCTGTCAGTTGTGTTGCAAAGGAGTCCTTACATTGAGGCTTAGGGGTACTTAGAAATATTTTTAAACTTTTGGTTATTATAATCCATAAGAAACAGCTAAAATTAGATTTTTGTTTGGGTTCTAAGTTCAGTGTAGGAGGATCATGGGATTTAGGCTCAGCCTTCAGCTTTTGAGGCTCCTTGTTGATATGGCGTCTTCATAGATTTCCTCAACAAGGTAGTTGGTAAGGTTATAAGTACCTTTACAGTAGAAGCCCAAAAGTTGGAAACCCAATAGCCTGAATCCTTAACAGGAATGCACAGGGAATCCCAGCACTATTTGGCCTTGATCCGGTTTCCAACTTTATGGGGTTTACTACGGTGGTGCTATGTGCTTGTAACTGTAAGGTGTAGTTACCATACTTTTATAGCCTTGGTTGCAAATGCCATGACCCTTGAAGTACAGGACTCGGTAAACACGGGTTCATACAGGGCTTTATAGCGTTTGGGCCAAGATTTAGTTTTCTGACTTGACTCTTATTTCAGATAGTAGGGTGTAGAAGCGTCGCATTAAATCGGGGCTTGAGGTGTTAGTCCGATGATTATTCGTAATCCTCGGGTTGAAGCAGACCGGATTGCCAATCATCGTTTTTGTGTTTTAAACCTGACACGATGAGCCTGGCATGCAGGGTCCGTATGCATGGAACCACCACAACTTCAAACTGTGGGCCTAGACCTCAATCGTAAACCATTGCACAACTAACCTGACAGAACGCCCCAAGATCCTTGTGAATGCCCTAAACCCCGAAGAACCCAAACCGTGAGCCCTATAGACTAAACAGAGTCCTCGAAGCAGGTCACCGAAGACATCAAGGACGGCTTTAGGGGGTTTGGCCTTGATGGTTCAGGGTACCCAGACCTTCCAAAATGCCTTAATTAAGGAATATACCTTAAATCATAATAGGATCCCTAATATGATTTAAGGTATATTCCTTAATTAAGGGATCTTGGAAGGTCTGGGTAGAGGGGCCTTACTTCTCATTCTAGGGTTTGATAAAGGGTTTTATACAGGGTTTAAAGCAGAGATACAGGGCTTAGGTTTCGCCGTTTAGGGCTTTGGGTTTAGGGTGCACCTGAACCCAAAGAAACGTACTTATTATTCTGCTTTCCTTGTCGAAGTCAGCCTGGTTTAGGACGTGGACTAGAGTGTTTTTCGGAGTTCTTGAAGGGTTTTGTGGAGGCTCTGCATGGGTTTAGGGTTTACCTGTTTTAGGGACAACAGGGTCTAGGGCGTTGGGCTTAGGGCCAAAGTTCCGGAAGAGGCACCCAACAGCAAAACGCACCAACAACAAAACAGAGCAAAGCTATTGCTGAGTCTATTGCTGCATGAGAACCCCAAGGGAGCGGAGGCAGCGATCGAGAAAGAAAGACAGAAAGAACAAAAGAAAGAGAGGCAGAAAGAAAGGCCGAAGGAATGAGAGAAAAGATGAAACAAAGAAACGAGTAAATATACAACGAAAGAAGGAAAGGACAACATAAGCCAAGAAAGACAGAACGAAAGGGACAAACACAAAGAACTAATAAACACATGCAGAAATAAAGAGAGGAACAGATAGAGAGAGAGAGAGGTAGTACAGTGCCGTAATCTGGAATACCCCAGAAACCAGCCACTCCATAATACAGGGGGTGGTTGGGCGGGCCGAGTGCCTTGGGGTCGCATGCGACCCTTAAGCCCTGCAGAAAGAAAGAAATAAAGAGAGAGAGAGAGAGAGGGAGAGGGAGAGAGGGAGAGAGGCAGAAAGACAGAGAGAGAGAGAGAGAGAGAAAGATATAAAGAAATACATAACATAATAAAACAAACGAACAAAGAAAGCAATAACGATATAAATACAGACAGAACGCAAGAAAGAACAGATAAAAGAGGAAGCCAAGCAAGAAAGAAACAATGAAGGAATGAAACAAACACAGAAAGAACGCATGCAAGAAAGGCACATGGGGGGGGTCCGTTCGCCGGGTCTCCCGCTTTGAAGAGTAATGGCCAAGCTTAGTTGAGAATAAATCGGGCACCATGTTTCAATGCAGATTTCACGGTTGAGTGTCGTGGCTGGGATTTGTCATGCCTTGGTAAACGCCATAGGTCCTAAGACTTAACCCTTAAAACCCTAAGGAAGCTAAAGCCTAAACCCTTGAAGCTCTAAACCCGCAGACTCCGAAAACCCTACATGAACCTCAAACCTGAAATGCGCAAAAGTCCTGAACACCCTAAACCCTAAAACGATCTGAACACCCAAGACCCTGGAGGGTGGGTTTGCTGGCAGGAGCTGCAGGCCAATGCCATCCGCGACACCGAGCGTGCTGTAAGAGCCGCGAAGGTCCGTCCCGTCTTAGATGCAAGGTCCCATGCCTGCTTTGTCATTACCGTTATTGAGTACTATCACTGTTGGTTGATTAACTCAAAACACTATACTCATTGTTATGATGATCTATGTCACCGTCAGCATCATGTTTAAAAGTATTTGCTTCTTGCTGCTGCTATTATCATTATATGAGTATTCCAAAAGATCCTTAGTTGTTCGGATGCTGCCACCTTGTCAAACTTAATGATGGGTCAATCTGAGCCCTTCACTCCGATTCAAACTTGGCCATAGATCCTGTAAAAGGCAATGTCTAGGGGCTAAAGTTTAGGGTATATTATTCTAAGCCATTTACAGGTGGGTAGTTTTAAGGTGGGTAGTCTCCCATAAGCCTTCCATACCACTCCTATAAGGTAAAGGGGTCTTATGGGAGTACTATGGAAGAGGAACTACCCACCTGTAATGGGCTTCTAATTATAGGGGTTTAGGGTATATAGGGGTTTAGAGTTTACAGGGGTTTACGGTATATAGGGGTTTCGGATATGTGGGGGTTTAGGGTTTACAGGGCCTTAGGGGTTTAGGGTTTATAGGCGTCTATGGTGGTTTATAGGGGTTTAGGGTGTATAGGGGTTTCGGATTTAGGGATTTAGGGGATGGGTAGCTTGCGATATGCTTGATTTGCCCCAACTTACCCTGTCAACTTCTGCCGGACGGGGGGGTGTACTATATGGGTGGTTGTCACAATTATGGCCCCTTTTTGGGTACCCTAAATATTAAGTGCCGGTACCCGAATCCAGGTCTTGACTGCAGAAGACGGGTTAGAGCCGAAAATACTCCTGCCATCTGTATAATGCTTATATATCCCGCCCCAACCCTAAACCCCAAACCCTATACCCTATACCCTTAACGGCCCCAACTGTTGTTTTGCTTTCTTGCTTTCGGCACCTCGTGGAGTCCCGGCGTGATGCTGACGACCAAGACCTCATTGATGAACGTGCGCGTATCAACGCCAGGCTGGAAGAGAACCAGAAACATACGGTGGCAAAGGCCAGAACGAACGCAGCAATGAAGGAAGAGGTCAAGGAGAGAATTTATGTCAGCCGGTGGAACAGAAAGAAGCAAAAACCTCTTATGATAAAGGACAGTGAAGCTCCGGATGATGAAGAGTGGGATCAGCCCAAGGAAAGTGCGTCGTCTTCTACACAACCTCCTCCCGAGAAAATATGGGCCCAGACACATGATGGGCAAGGAATACTCTAAAAGCCCTGCGGCGCTTGACCCCAAACCACATAACCCCTATAAACTCAGATCCTCAACCCGGAGTTTCGGATCTCCGCAAAGGGAGTGCAATTCAACTTTAAATTAAAGAACCCTCAGACCACAAACCTTAAACTCCAAAGCCCTAAACCCCCCTAATCCCTCGAACGAACCCTAAAACCTTAAACCCTAAACGCTATGGATCCCTTTAAAGGAACCCTCATAGATCCTTTAAAGGAAACCCTAAAACCCTAAACCCTATAGATCTCTTCAACGGAACCCTCATAGATCCTTTAAAGGAAAACCCTGCAACTATAGGGTTCCCTTCAAAGGAACTCTCATAGATCCTTTAAAGGAAAACCCTAAAACTCGTAAAACTCTAAAACTCGTCCTCTTCCCTAAGGCTCCATGTACTAATATAGAATATACTTAGGCCTTAAAGTACCTACATAGGGACCCCTTTAAGGCTTACTTATCTACTATAAGGGTACATGGAGCCTTTGGGTAGTATCCTAAACCCTAAACCCCTAAATCCTAAACCCTAAACCCTAAACCCCAAGGACAGCCCTAAAACTCGTCCTTTTCCCAGTTGAACTTCGACTCGGCTCTTCGCGACGTGGATCGCGCCGAGCGGGAGGCTCCAGGGGGGTCGTTTCCGGGTCCATGTGGGAATTTCCAAAAATATGAGATACCTTATTTTGGGGCCCTTATAATAAGGATCCTACTATTTAGGGTACTATATTAGGGTCCCCTATTTTCGGAAACTCCCACATGTATCAAAGGGGACAAGGAGGGACCCTTAATGGGGACCCCTACCCTATAATGGGCTATATTATGGGTATATAATAGCTATATTAAGGGTATATACCTAGTATAGTAGGGCTTTAAGGGTCCCTTCCTGTAATAGTCCTACAAGGGATCTATAATCTATATAAGGGTCTTGATCATGGGTCCATGTGTAGATAGTAGGGCTTTAAGGGTCTATAGGGTTCCCTTGAAGGGCTCCTAGAAGGGATCTACGGGGTGTCGGGGGGTTTTGGGTTTAGGCTCGGGGGTTCTTTCCGGGTCCATGTGCTCTTCTTAGAGTTTAGGGTCTCGTTTAGGGGTCTATAAGGGCACTATAAGGGTACTATAAGGGTTCTACAGGATTTAGGGGTGTATACTCGGTGTTTGGGGTCCACGTAATGTAGGGGCCTTAGTATTTAGAATAGGGTTCCTTTAAAGGGATCTATAGGGGTTCCTTTAAAGGTTTCCTTAAAAGGGCATCTACAAGGGATCTATAGGGGGGTTCTCTATAAGTACCTTAACTGGGTTTATAATTACATTATAAGTATAGTTACCTTATTTATCCTAGTTACTAAGTCCCATGAACCTCCAAGTAGAGGCCTTCGTATTTAGAACAGGGCTCCTTCAGAGTACTGTGATGTAGGGTTGTTTCCGGGTCCATGTAAGAGTTCACGAAAAATTGGGCTTTGGGGATGGAAGGTATAGGAACCTATGTAATTCCACAATGGTACTTTATGTGGAAGATTCCGAAATTAGGGGTACCTTGTTTCGGGCTCTTTAAAATGAGGATCCCACTACATAGGGTACTTTATTAGGGTCCCCCTGTTTCCGGGTCCATGTATGAGTTCTATACGGGTGTATGAGTTATTATACATCTTTCCTTTGTAGGGTTTAGACTTTCGGGTGTAAGGTTTGGGGCCTTGGTTTTAGCAGGGGAATTCTAGTGGATTTAATTAGGATTACGGTTTTGGAGTTTAAGATTTGGGCGTTTACGCTGAGACTGTTCACCCTGAATCCTACCCAAGCCCCAGAAACACCCTCAAGCATTACCAGCAGCTTCGCGTTATAGTGCCAAGATAGCTACAGTACATAATTACGTTATATCATAACAGCTATGCCGAGACCCTACTCTAAATCTCAAGTTTATCATTGCTCGACGCTGGCAGCCAGACAGGTTGCTGCGCTTGCTGCGCCGGACCAGGCACACGGTTTGCTTAAAGAGTGTAGAGCTGTATGATAATGTCTTCTGCATGTATCGTTGGTTTAGATTTTCAGGTTCTAGGCTGCCGGGAATGTTAAAGGCTTCGGATTCAATAGGACCACCATTCTAACGTTGTTGCAAGAATATGAGATCTAAGCTCTGATACTTCTAGCGTCGTTTGAGGTGTATTGAGCTTCAGAGTGTCCTGATTTGGTGAGTCCTTAAGCTCCCACACTCGAAATCCGCCGGACAGAGAACTACATCCTGAACCAAACATCCTACAGTTGATGGTATATAAATCATGCATTACCTTAATGACCCTAGACTATGAGACTTATGGTATATTCTCTGTCTTGGGTAATGCAGGGTTTATATCATCAACCGTAGTGCCTTTCGAGCTAAGATGCGCACCTCCGAAATTTTAGTTCCAGACGCGATCTTTCATGACCCGCAGCATCTTTGGGGGGCATTCAGACATGTGTTTTTAATTTGGTTCCTATAATCCCTAACGAACAGCTAAAATCATGTTTTTTTTGCTAGGGGTCTACGTTCAGTATAGCATCCTTGTCGTCATCATCAGAATCTTCATCGAATTATTCTCATCATGAATCATGCGTGTGTGGGGGTTTGGGGTGTGCGAGGGCTGCTGATGTACAGAAAGAAGCTTACAATGTGTTCCACCCGCTTTGTGACCGTCGCTGTCATTTTCTCTGTTCTGACCCAACGGCAGTGTCTACTGCACAAACGGCAGGCAATAGGTAAGCGTGGAACAGTCATTTTTTTGTGGTGTTAACCCTCGATCCGAAGACCTACTTCAAGGCAAGGGTCGTGGGATTTAGTAACTACAGTTATAAGCAAAATATGGCAACCATACTTAGAATTACCTACAACCTCGGTTCAGGTTAGCCTTAGTTGCTGAGTCCCCTGATCCTCCAAGTATCCTTAACAGAGGAACCATCGAAAGCATTCCATAACAGTTCCCTTGCCCTGTGGATCCCAGGCACAGTTTTCCGCTTCCCTGGTGCAGTTGAAAGAGCGGCTGCAGGAGACAACAGCAATGGTCATCACAACATAATGGTAGTAGTAGTAGCAGTAGTAGTAGTAGTAGTAGTAGTAGTAGCGAAACTAAATATTCCTATTTAAAATAACTCCAGTACTGTTAATGACTGCAATAACGACAATAGTATGTTTTAGAAGGTCTCAAAGGGGTTGCGGGAGGTCTGAGCAATCGCACTCTTCCTCTATAGCACTATCTAACCATAATAGCAAACAAGTATCTTATATACACAAAATGAATGCATAAACAACAGATGTTTCAATCCTACTGATAACTGACATGCATGGACGTATAGACATTTATTTCAGTTTTCAGTTCATTACTTGGGTGCACGTGTCTAGTCTTTTGGTATACCTTGGTAACCCCAAACCTGGAAAAGAGGCCCTTGACACAAAAAAAAAAGGAAACAGCTACACCCGGTGGCCGGGGGGGGGGGGGTTGGCGTTTAGCAACTTACTGGCATCATGTGTTTTGTTTGTTTTATGAGGGGGGGTCTAACATTCGAAGTGGCGGGCTGAGGATTCAAACACTTTGGTATTTTAGAGAGTTTATTAGGGTTTAGAGTTCAAGGCTGTGGGTTTAGAGTTTGGGGTTTAGGGTTTGTATGATTGGTAAATTTGACAGCTGAACATGCTTGTAGTCGGTAGGATATTCATTCGAGGCTCAAGGTATGATAGATGTTAGATGACCGGGTAGGCTTTAGCGACCAGCACCTGATGATGCCACGACGAGTGCAATGACTACTGGAGCCTATCGTGGTACACATATTTAAACGTTCATGGGACTGAGGAAGTACTTGTAGGGTCATAAATCAGGCAACTATACTGATAGATAGCTACATCCCAGTTAAGGTACTTCTGTTTGTAATTACTAAGTCCTATGAACCTCCGAGTATAGAAGTGCATGGTGTAATATGCAAGACTAGCAAGTAATCTGAGCATGGCAATACGACTTCCGCTTCTCTGAGTATCATAGGACAATACGCAGAAGAGAGCATGCTTGAAGAAACCCTAGACCCTAAACCGGGAAAAGCATGGCGTACTGTGGTGGATGTCCCCCTCCTGGAGACGCTTCCCGTTCGGAGTAAATTAACTTGCAGCTGAAAGTTGGCCATGCCTACACCCTCAACTCTAAACATGCGGGTTCGGGAGCCTGGGATCGGCCGCCCTTTGCAGGTGGTACGAGCTAAGGCAGAAAGCCAGTACAGGATGGTGGGTGGGAGCCTCGGCATCACGGCATCCCCAGAAAGACACAGCCGCGAGTGGAGCTCGAAGAAGTACGGCTGACATGCTTGTGGCGTGGAGCGACAACTCATACAGCAAACATCATGATGAACATGCCGAACCATGCGCAGAGCACTCTCGCCTACGCGAAGTGCACAGATAGTTCCAGGTAGGACACTTGGACATATCTTTGGCTTCCTGACCGAGAATCCTTTCAATCAGTCACATCCCTTATACAACAGTTATGGTTTCCGATCTCCCGGCGCTTAGACCCTAAACCGACCATCATACCGTAAGCAACACAGCATGAGTCGGCGCCTGAGCAGTCAGTCCGACCATTCCTTTTGCGGCTGCTTAGTATTTTACATAGTGTTGTATTTCTTCTTTTTTGTATATGCGACACTAAAACCCAGACTTCTGTCAGCGGGAGTTTTCAACATTCTGTTCAATTTATTTAGACTATGGTTCTACGGGCGCTTAAGAACATAATCGTATCCCGCAAAACTATCCTGATTTGTAATATTGTCAGTCTCCTATTCCTATAGATCCCTACACTACCCATGAAGCCCTTACAACCCTACTTGTAGCAAACCCCCTAACACGATCGAAAAGCTCCATAGCACCCCAGGAGGCTCAGGGGAAGCTGGAGGACCACAAGAATGTCCGCCGAGATTACGAGCAAGCGGCCCAGGCAGGTCAATCATCAATATGGCCCCTAAACCCTAAACCCTAAACCCCTAAACCCTAAACCCTAAACCCTAAACCCTAAACCCCTAAACCCTAAACCCTAAACCTTAAACCCTAAACCCTAAACCCTAAACCTTAAACCCTAAACCCTAAACCCTAAACCCTAAACCCTAAACTCTAAACCCCTAAACCTTAAACCCTAAACCCTAAACCCTAAACTCTAAACCCCTAAACCCCTAAACCGTCAATCATCAAAATGGCCCTGAAACCCTATCGGATCCTTAGCCCCAGAACCCGCCCTAAAGCCCTGGAACCTTAAACCAAAGCCAAATTCCTAAACCCGAAACCTTAAACCGTGTAGATCCCTTCTAGAACCCTTGAATAGCGCACTTAAGCAAAAATGAGGATAGGGATATCCCACATACACCCCCTCAAAAGGAACGGCCCCATAAAATGCTTATGCTTACGTCCTTCCTGGGTCCCTAATTGAAAGAACCTGTTTGAACTAAACTCTATGAGACCCCTAACCCCGAACCGTGGCAGCCCTAACCCAAAGGCTCCATGTACCCTTATAGTAGATACTTAAGCCTTAAAGGAGTCCCTATGTAGGTACTTTATAAGGCCTAAGTATATATTATATGGGTGTGACATGGAGCCTCAGGTTAAACCCCAAACCCTAACGCCCTAAAACCCTAAACCCTAAACTCCGAAAGCCCTAAACCCTTAAGGCCCTAAACCCTATAAGCCCTAAGCCCTAAACCCCTAAACCCTAACCCTCAAACGTAACTCCCAAACCCTAAGCCCTACGCCCTAAACCCGTAAAGCCCTAAGACTCTAAGCCCTAAGCCCTAAACCATTAAAGCCATAAAACCTTAAGCCCTAAACCCTAAGCCCTATAAGCCCTAAACCCTAAGCCCTATAAGCCTTAAACCCCTAAGCCCTAAAGGCCTTACCCAATGCCCTAAACTGCTTAGTAGCTGAGTGGATCCACTTTACACCTTTTGGGTTTATGGTTTAGCGGTTTAGGGTTTAGGATATTACCCACTAAAACTGAAAGTGTATACTTTTGCGGGGCTTATGAACTCAGCAACTAAGAATCCCAAACCCTAAACCCCAAAGCCTTAAATCCCTAAGCCCAGAAGGGAAAAACGCACCCCGATGCCCTAAAATGCCGTCGCAGCAGGCTGGCAAGGCCTTCGGCGACCTGGCGAGCCGGCTATCGACGGTGGAGATGGATTGTGACAAGGTGGGTACGGTTGATGATATAAATCCTGGGGTTCCTTTAAAGGGATCTGTAAGGGTACCTTTAAGGGATCTATAGGGTTTTGAGGTTTAGGGTTTAGGGATATAAATCCTGCATTACCCATAATAAGGGATATACCATAATTCCCATAGTGTAGGGTCCTTGAGGTAATGCAGGATTTCTATCATCAACCGGTAGAACCCCAAAATAGTAGGATTCATACAACTAGGGTTTAGGGGGTTTCAGGGTTTAGTTTAGGCTTTCGGAAGGTTTTTTTGATGGTTTTGGGGGGTTTGGGGTTTCGGATGTGGGGTTTTAGGGTTTGGGGCTTAGGTGACTAAAAGGGTTCCGTTGAAAGGGTTCTAAGATGTTGGTAAGATGAATTGCAAGGTCGGTGGGGTGGGTACTACATATAGGGTTCTAGAACCCTGTAAGTAAGGGTTCATGTGAGGGTTTAGAGCTTAGGCATTGCGACAAGGTCGGTTTAGGATTCAGGAAATCAGGGGTTTGAAGGGTTTCTGATGTGGGAGTTTTCGAAAACAAGGGGTACCTTATCTTGGGGCCCTTATAATAAGGATCCTACTATTTGGGGTACTATATTAGGGTCCCCTATTATCGGAAACTCCCATGTGTTTGGAGGTGTAGGCTTCCATGAAGGTTCAGGATTGCAAGATTAGGGTTGGTTCAGGCTTGTAAGATGGATTATGACAAGGTGGGGTTTAGGGCTTTTGAGCGTTCTACCAGGGATCCATATGGGTTTACAAGTTCACTAGGTTCAATTATAGTCAGGGTCTGAAATGCTAGGACTGCGACGGGCAAGCTTGTGTTTGTATTTCTTTTAGGGCTTGGGATTCTGCTTGTTATGAGTTATGATCATTGTTCCCTATAGTATGAAGGATTTCGACAAGCCTTCACTTTAGTGTATGTTAGGGGTTCATGGGTTTTGATTGCATTTGCAAAGAGCGCTGTTTCCTATTTGATTGCCGTTCCCCATTTCCTTCAGGCTTGCAACAAGCTGGGGTTTAGGGTTCAGGATGTCGGACTTCGGACGTTTCTAATTTTAGGCAGGTTTTTGTATGAGGGGCTGGCCCCAGACTGTGTCGGACGAACCATTGCCTCTTACGTCAAGGCTAATTAACCCTAAGGGTCCAAGTACCCAAATAGTAGGGTTTCAAAGTCCAAAAACCATTCAGAGTATGGTTTTCGGGACCTAAAACGCTACTATTTGGGTACTTGGACCCTCTGGGTAACGAGAAGTAAGTACCTATATAGGGACCCCTTTAAGGCTTAAGTATCTACATTAAGGGTACATGGAGCCTTTGGGAGAAGTGGCGCGTGTGGCCGTGCATTTTTTTCCCCCTTCGCCGCTCGCGTGACACATTTACGGAGGATCCATCCATGCGGCCGCGTCTCCTGGAAAGCCAGCTTTATTCAATAGTTCGTTCAGTCGTTCGCTCGTTCAGTCGTTCATGCATTATTTATTATTCAGTCTTCATTCCTTCATTCACTCACTCATTCATTCCTTCATTCATTCATTCACTCACTCAGTCATTCATTCCTTCATTCAAAGTTCAAAGTTCCCACACGTTGACCTCCTGTTAGCCTAGAGATCTCCGAATTTTGCCAGCTTTTGGGGGAAAGGATCCTGGCCTTGTTCTTTGAGGTTTTAGCCTATGGGGGTTAGGGTTAGGGATCCCTAGGGTTCCTTTAAAGGGATCTATAGAGATTCCTTTAAAGGGATCCCTAGGGTTCCTTTAAAGGGATCTATAGGGGTTCCTTTAAAGGGATCTATAGGGGTTCCTTTAAAGGGATCTAAAGGATCTTCGCCCTGCTCTCTGAATCTCGCTTGGGCCTTCGCCAGTACTACGCAGCTTCAGTGGCTTAGGGCTTACTTGTCCAAGGGTAAAAGGAGGGACCCTTAATAAGGACCCCTAGGTATATACCCTTACTATAGCCATTATATACCCATTATATACCCCATTATAGGGTAGGGGTCCCCATTCAGGGTCCCTCCTTTTCCCCTTTGAACTTGGAGGTTTGGGACTTAGTATAACCGGGGTTATAAATAGGGTAACTATATATTTAGAGTTACTTATAACCCCAGTTAAGGTACTTATAACTGTACTTACGAAGCCCCATGAACCTCCAAGTAGAGTTTAGGGTCTCCTAGTGATCTGTCTGTCCTGGTGGTCTCCGGATCGTCTTCTGAGCAGTGGCTGGTTTAGGGTAGGGTTTAGGGGTTATGGGGTTTAGGGCTTGTTTCAGCAGTTTTTTGAAGGCTTTAAGGGTTCCTGTAACGGAAACCCACATATTAAAAGTCTGACAGGAAGCCTTGGTGAGGGCGGTGTTTTGGCGGTCTTCCGGGTCTCCCGGTGGTGTTCTGCTGGTCTCCTGGGCTATAAGGTCCTACCTATAGTCTCCATTGTAGTTCCTTTTGGGGGTTACCTTATAGGATCCTACTTATATATTTGGTTAAACCAAAAAAAGGAACTACAATGGAGACTATAGGTAGTGTGTTTCATAGAGCTTCATAATAAGAGTGTAGTACTGTACCGGGTTTTAGGCTTCATGCAGACCCCTGATTGATGGAACCCGCTTCTTCAAGTGCCGCAATGCTAAGATTCCTGCGAGGGCTTTCGCTCAGCAGGTTGTGGAACCGAATGAACCCTAAAGTATATGGGCTTAGGGTTTACGATGATGAACCCCTTTGCTCTCACCCCTAAACCCCAAAGCTTGTAAAGCCCTATGGAACCTAAACCCTAAAACCTAAACCCTAAACCCTAAACCCCTAAACCCCTAAACCCTAAACCCCTAAACCCCTAAACCCTAAACCCCTAAACCCTAAACCCTAACACTTAGCAAACAGGGTTCAGCGCTAAGCACAATCTCCAGGCCGCGATCATGGCGGAGCCGGTCGCGAAGACACTGGACACCAACCCGCAGGAACGAGGGCCTTACAGATCCCTTACCCTGGGGCTCTAAATAGCCCAAAGTAGGTATCATTTATAGACTTTAGGCCCCAAAGTAGGTAGTATTTGTATACTTGGAGCCCCAGGGTTAAAGGAACCTTTAAAGGAACCCGAAATTATGGTAACTTCCATTAAGTTCCCTTAGGAAGAACCCAGGCAAGGGGTTCATCATAGGTGTTATACGGTTGCCGTTGTCATTTAGGATTAAGAGCTATGCAATGAGGCTGCATTTCAGCAGTTCAAAGTGTCTTAAACCAGAACAGAAGCGTCCATGATCTTTAGCGCATTCCCTTGCTGGCGGAGATTCCAATTGCCAACATCCCTCGATTAAGGAGTATACCTTATTTTGTAGTAGGATCCTTATTAATATAATGTAAGGTATATTCCCTAATTAATGAAGGGATATTGGAGTCTTTTGGGCTTCGCTGCATTGCAGCTTTAAAGGGGACTTCGGGGTCCTGGCTCGAAACGTGCCTGGGTTTCGGACATGCAGAAAGTCTGACAAACCGAACGAACATTTAGGGTTTCGGGGTTTAGAAGTTATATGAAGGGCAAAAGTTCGTGGAGGTTGGGCCGAGTAAGACAGTCTGAACTGCAAACCCTGTTCGAAGATCAAACCAGTGGGTTGCAGACTCGCAGACCTAGCCCTAAACCCCCTACACCCTAAACCATCCTAAATCCCTGAACCGAACCGAAACCCCTACACCATCGACCCTACTCCGTGAACCCGTAGACCCACAACACCTCAGCCCAGGAACTGGTAACCGAAATGGGTTTTAGATTCAGGGCTTCTGACTTAATATAGGGGTTTTCCCATTCCAATCATGGGTACGCTTTGTACGCCAGTTTGACCTTTGTGGGCCAAGCCTGCACGTTGCGCCAGCGCTTGCCCACCTGTCCCTAGATGAGCCAAAACGAAAAACGAGAGAGAGATAGAGAGAGAGAGACAGACTGAGACAGACAGACAGACAGACAGACAGACAGACAGACAGACAGACAGACAGAAAGACAGACAGACAGACAGATAGACAGACAGACAGACAGACAGACAGACAGAGAGAGAGAAGCAGAGAAGCAGAGAAGCAGAGAAGCAGAGAAGCAGAGAAGCAGAGAAGCAGAGAAGCAGAGAAACAGAGAAACAGAGAAACAGAGAAACAGAGAAACAGAGAAACAGAGAAACAGAGAAACAGAGAAACAGAGAAGCAGAGAAACAGAGAAACAGAGAAACAGAGAAACAGAGAAACAGAGAAACAGAGAAACAGAGAGACAGAGAGAGAGAGAGAGAGAGAGAGAGAGAGCGCGAGAGAGCGAGGGACGGAGGGAGGGAGGGAGGGAGGGGGAGAAAAAGATCAGACGACCGAGGAGCCGCTAGATGGGGCGAGGTCCCCAGGCGGCACCACTTCGTGCCGGCTGTTGCCGAGGACGAGCTTTGGCCGTTGGGGCCGCTCTGTTCCGAGGAGCCTGCCTCGCGGCAGCGCCGACTCCATGCGGGCAACAGCGAGCCCTCCACAAGGGGAATCCACACGTGGATCTGGATAAACCCTCGGCCGAGCTTGTTGGCGAGAGGCAGGAGATTCTACATAAGATGACCGAGCCCCCTCCGATAAGGGCGGGAAACGTTCTCACCGTGGTTTATTCCCTTGGGAAGCCTCGCCACGTTGCAGTGACAAATGGTCCAGACCCCATCTGGGGATCCCCAAACCGACTGCGTTAAGGGACTATGCCCTATAGTTAAAGGTGTTATCAAGGTGTCTTAACCAACCATTAATAATTAGGGTTTTGGGGAAACCCTTTCAGCAACTCCTTTCTGGAGTCCCTAAGACTAAAAGCCTTAAGAGAACCCCTAAGTCCCTGAACCCTAAACCTCGAAACCCTGAACCTCGAATCCTAAACCCCTACAGCAAACCCTAAACCCTCCCTTTAAGGAACACATTTAAGGAACCCTGAAATTTCGCCATCCCTTTTTAAGGAATCCTTTAAGGAACACTTTCCGGCTCCCTTTTCAGGAACCCTAAACCCCAAACCCTCCCTTTAAAGATCCCTTTAAGGAGCCCTTTTAAGGAGCCCTAAACCCTAAACCCTTCCTTTAAGGAACCCTTTCAGGAACCCTAGGAGCCCTTTGAGGGAACCCTAAAACCCAAAGACTCCAATATCCCTTAATTAGGGAATATTCCTTAAATCACATTAGAAATCCTACTATAATTTAAGGTATATTCCTAATTGCTCCTTTAAAAAACAACCCTCTAAAAAAGCCCTAATCCCTAAACACTCCCTTTGAGGGATCCCTTTAAAGAGCCCTTTTAGGATCCCTCTGGGACCCCCGTGAGGATCCCTAAACCCGAAACCCTAAACCCTATCCCTTTAAGGAACCCAAGGAGCCCTTTAAGGATCCCCTTAAGGAACCCTAGGAGCCCTTTAAGCTTTAAGGGAACCCGAAAACCCCGTGAGGAGCTTTCGGCGGCCGACCTCCGCGAGACGAAGGAGGCCGTGCGCATCGCGCAGGCGGCGACCGTTTTGGGTGGTTCAGGGCCTTAAAAGGCTCCTTAAAGGAATTCTTAAAGGGAGGGTTTAGGGTTTAGGAGTTTAGGGTTTGAGGTTCAGGAGTTGAGGGTTTAGGGTTTGAGGTGTAGAGTTTAGGAGTTTAGGGTTTAAGCTTCAAGAGTTGAGGGTTTAGGGTTTAAGGTGGAGAGTTTAGGAGTCTAGGGTTTAAGGTTTAAGGTTTAGGGTTTAAGGTGTGTCACAGTGCCACGGCGCGCCCCACCCATGGAGTGGTCGTGGGTCGCGCCGTCTTCGTAACGTGGAACCCACCCACAACCACCCGAAGCAGGACTAGAACGGGTTTTGTTCAGGCAGCCTAATTAGGACGGATAACCAACAGGCTCGGATAGGTGCAGGTTTTGGCGGGGTCTGGGGCCGGGTGGGTCCAAGCTACTAAAGGAGTAAGGTTTTTAAGGATGAAACTCTAAGTATTTGAGGGTTTTGGTAAACTTATCAGGAGATATTAGCGTTTCTATGGCTTGGATTTGCGTAGTGTTTTATGGCAGGCGTGAAAGTATCATTTAAACTGTTGGATTGAGGCCGTTCGGACGATTGCCGGTTTGGGGTAGTCTGTAGGTTTTTGTATGAAAAGCTAGAAATACAAGGGCGTTCGTGGCCGTTCGTCGTTGGCTTCCTCGGGGCCGTTCGGCGACATCACCGCCATCCTGGCCTTCACAGGTGGCCCTGGCGAGTTTGGGTTTTTAGGCTGCATTCTGCTTGCACACAGGAGGGCATTTGCAGTCTGAGTTGGACATGCACAGCACATGACATCATGAGCGATTCTTACAGCAGCATCCCGGGCTGAAGTTCTGAGGATTTTCACAGTTCACATTTCACAGATTTCGCAGATTTCACAGATTTCGCAGATTTCGCAGCTTCTGATTTTAGGTTTCAGGGTTCGTCATTCGGCGTTCATCATTCGCCGTTCGGGTCATTAGCCGTTCGGGGTATTCGCCGTTCGGGTCGTCATCCGTTCGGGGTCTTCGCCGTTCGGGGTTGCTGGATTTTCCCTTGGTCTTTCGAGACCGTTCCTTGCGGCACAATGGCCGGGCGTCGTGGAGCCCGCAGCTCGGCATCTGGGACGGACGATCTCAACTACCAGACTCTCGAGGGGAACATCGACGAGGGGACGTTCTGGGACGGTCCTCTTCTGGTGGCCTATGGGATCGAAGAGATGTACAACACGACCGGCCGGAACAATGCCGTTCGTGTTTAGGCTCATTAATAAAATGCTTCGCATTTGCAGGAGTCTTCACATGTTTGTTTGCAGTGCCAAGCACACTCAGGTCAGAAGGGCCACTCGTGTATGCCGGCCTGGTTGAAAAGGCGGTGGTATGAGGTCAACGGAACACAGGTGTCCATCGACATTCGTGGGATGTGGCCCAGCGATACCCAAGCACGGGCGGAGGGTGTCGAAGGACGGGTCGTAGTAGTAGTCGTGAGTGACTGTCGCAAACTATTGTAGTTAACAGTTTTTTTCGGGGTTTCTTATCCTGCGAGGCAACCCGTTGACGACGTTCGCGGTGTTCGAGGGGCCGTACAACCAGACGGAGTTCGCACCTTGCTTCCGGGTTCTCGCGAAGATGCTTCAGGCCATGAAGGAGATCGAAGGACGTTCGGTTTTGGCCGTTTGCTGTTGCTGGATGCACTTAGTAATAAGGTTCTGCAGCCAAGTTTGTGGTGTGATCTTCGGGTGATTGCTTGTATCCGAGGTTCGCATGGACGGGTCCGGTCGGCCAGTCTCGTGGTGGGCCTCTCGGCCCTCTATGGCGTCCCCCTTTGGCTGCCGTCGTTCGGCGACGTGTCGAACGAGTGGTGGGCCATCGGGAGTCTGCCGGAGACGGTCGTCACTCAGCTCCGTATCTATGCGAGCGATCGTGTGGCCGCTCCTCAGACACCGCCTGGACCGCCGCCGGGGGCGGCCGGGCCGCCCGATCCCGCGAATGCGGCCGCTCCTGGTCGTCCGCAATATCGCGGGACGTTCGGGGCGGCCGAGGCACAGATTGCCATGCCCGCCACGGGCAACGAGATTTTGGATGCCGTGCCTTGGCTCAATAATAATTAATTAAGCGTTCGGTCCGTTCGTGCATCCTGTTCTCACTTAGGTTCGGTACGACATCTGGAAAGTGGCACCGGCCGTTCTCCTGGAGCTGGACGAACTGCAGCTCGATGAGAAGGCCGTTCGTGTCGCTCGGCTTTTTAATAATTCGCATGGGCTGTGTCGTTCATTGTCCGAGCACAATCAATTCACAATATCCAAGGCGGTCGGGAACATCGCCGGCCATGGGGAGGACGGTGCGAAGTTCGTCCGGGAGATTTTCCAAATCCTCCAGCGTGACTTGGTTGGCTAATAATGGGTTGGATTCGAACCATTCAGATGAAAAGTTTCTGAAATAACTGAGGCGAGAACCAGGCGGACCTTCGGACCTATGCCAATCCATCGGCGGCCATAACCTCGGCCGTTCGAAAGGAGCTCGACCGCCTTCGCCCCGAGATCCCTGGTCTTCCGGGTCGCTTCGGCTTTGAGTTTCTACTTTTAACTTGACTTGTGTCGTTCGTGCTGCTTTGCAATGCACCTTGCATTTACCTGATAGCTGAGGCAGCAGACAGCAGGGAAAAGGCGGAAAAGGCCGGCAGCATTACGACGATTTCGACGTTCGCCGTCACTCCCTTGAAGTTAAACAGTCACATGACATAGGCATTGCTGTTGTCTGCGTTTCGCGATCGAGTACAGTGACTGAGGCGGGGAGCAGCCGGACTTTCGCGGCGGCTATGACGATCGCGATCGGGATGGCGGCGGCCGCCGTGACTACTACGACCGGGACCGGGACTACCGGCGTGAGGACGATCGGGACTTCCGGGATCGCCGTGACTTTCGGCGTGACGATCGTCGCGATCCCAGTCCGGACGATCGCCGTGGACCCTGGAGAGACTATCGTGGCCTTGACGATCGCGAGCGTGCCCGCTTCGACGATCGTGATCGTGATCGCCTTTCGGATCCAGGGCATCCAGGTCGGCCGACTCCTCGTTGGATGTCCGATGCCGAGGTGCCTTGGCTGCAGAAGCTATTGCGATTGGCTGCGTGTATTTCAATCTGGGTGAGTCTGACATGCTCAGGACCGTCGCCGTCGCCGGTACGATTACTACTAGGTCGTTCGTGGTGCCTTGGCTCTTTAAAGCGTCCTTCGAAACCGTTGTTTGTGTGTCGAGGACTGACTGTACTGTACTTTAATAACTGCAAGCCTAAGGACGGCCGCTTTTGATTTTGGGAGGAGCCAGGACACGGCCACTCGCATCGGCCGTGAAACTGGTCCTCGAAGCCGTTTTGTGTGCCACGGCACACCTGTAGCTTCACTCTGAGGGGAAGATGAAAAAAGGGGTCTCATGTGCATTGCCCTTTGCTTTGCCACTCTTGTTACACTTGGCCGAGATTGAGATTTTTGCTCGTGCCAGGTCGTGGGGCGTTCGGAATGAGGAGGCCAGCAGCTTTGCCGGGTTTGGGTTTATTGTTTGGTGGTGTGGGTTGTCTCTGTTCTTTGGACTCTAACATAAGGAATGGGTGTTGGGTCTGTGCGGGGTTTGGGGTTGGTGAGTCGTTACATCTACATGCAAGCAAGATTGCTTATCGGGTTGGGGTTGTAATCTGATATGTTCTTGGTCGTTCGAAGTTTGGGTGATTCTGCAATCAAAGTATTGTGGGGTGTCTTTTGGCGTACTACTCCTTAAAGCTAAAGCCTGGAGGGAACAAGAGCAGCAGGTCCCACAGCCCCCAAAAAAATCAGACTTCAAACCTCGAGCCCTGAAAACACCCAATATTGGCATACTGTAGGGGTTCCTTAGGTATTGTGAACAACACATCCAGAACTCCCAAACGGTCTCTCGGCAGGTGTGGTCATCGCGGTCATCGCAATCGCGAGGTTGGGTCGCGTGGTCCTTCGACAATTAATAAAACAATTACTTACAAATAGCAGTCTTACTTAGTACATTAAGCATTACTGATAACAACAATAACAAATAATAATGGGAGCAGTCGCGGGGTTTATTAAGTAAACCACAAATCACAAAAGGACACTGGCAGGCACAATAATTATGCTAACAATTTTAGACACAGGATAATATGATATTGATAACAACACCAATAACTAATTGGTTGAATGATTAAATATGAAACATAAGCCCAACGTCGTTCGAGTCGTTCGAGCAATAACAGAATTGTGCAAGCATACCTGGCATACCCTCCTGACACACGATTCGTAGCTCTGGCTACTCAGCCCTAAAACCCAAACGACATCCTGCAACCTGACCCCTACACCCTCGCATCCCCCTCCCGAAACTTCAGGCTGTAGTTTCGCAACCTTATCTAAGCCCGAAGTGAATCTTCCTAACTCCGATTGCAAATGATCCTTCCATTACTAGTTTATGTCATCCTGCTGTTGTTATCAAAACCCAAACGATTCTTGCGAGGCCTCTGCAATGTAACTTGTGGCAGCATAGGGCAGGGTTCTGGTTTGCGGGGTGATGATTAGATTATGGCATTGCAGTATCGTGGACATAGACCAACAGCACGTGTAGTCGCACTGCAGCGGTAGGAGTATAGCAGTTCACAATGCATTTCAGGAACCTCGGCCTTTATCTTATCAAGGGCAGCCTGTGAGACAGCTCCTGTAGCAAGCCATCCTCCTTTGCGTCCGTGGTCGTTCGTCGTCCTTTGTTCGGAGTCATCATGGCCCCTCGTCGTGATGCAGCCTCGAGAAAGGCCAGTGTCAAGAAGCGGCAGGCCGACAAACTAGCCGCTCGCCGGGCGGCCAAAGAAAGCAAGCTCCAGAAGAAGGCCGAGAAAACGTTCGCGAAGTCGGTGGCGACGTACCAGCAGGGGTCGTTCGAGAGAGTCCGGGCATTCGTCGATCAGCAGCTCGACGACAATCCGGCCTGGATCAGGCCACTCGCCGACCTCATGCGGGACGGGGCGATCAAGGCCATCCTCAAGATGGGGTCGCCCGACTCCGCTCAGGCGGCCGGGGCGGGCGGCAAGGCGGTCGAGAAGTGGCAGGGCAGGGCCAAGACTTGGGGCGAGTTGCCCATCGATGCCGTCCTTCGCATGCTCGGCTGCGTCGGCGTCGACATCAATGAGCCTAAGGTGGATGATGGGACGATCGACGAGCAGACCATCCGGGCGTTCTTCGAGGTGCAATTCTTCGTGGACGGCGGGGTCAACTTGCCGGCCGGCTGCCGTGCGTATGAGACCTTGGAGGCAATGGCCAGGCAGCGGTTCGAGAACCTGAATCTGAAGATCGTGCAGCCGAAGCTCGAGGCCTCCGGGACGTTGGAGTGCTTCGCCTTGGCCGAGAACGGCGAGATGTGTTGCATGCACAGCGATTCCACGGCCACCTTGCCAGGTCTTTCGGGTGACGACAAGTGGGTCCTCTCGGATGCGAGCTCGCCGTCGTGCGTAGTTTACTCGGAGTCCAACCCCTCGGTCTCCTTCTCGTGCCGGTCGCTCTTCGACGAAGTTCGCGGCCTTGACCCGGCAGCCAAGTGGACTGTCAGCAAGAAGGACAGCTGAGGATGCACCTAGGTCTCACGGCTAGGGCTAGGTCTTACTTGGGTTTCTCGGCATGGTCTCACACGTAGCTCTTGTGTCGTTCGTGCAACACGGTTGCATAGTTTTGGCATGGGGTGCCGCTCGACAATGACAGGGGTTTCTGGCTTGAAAAGGACGGCATTGCACCCTTTGGCGAGTTGGAGTGCGTTTCAGCTATTTTCAGGTGCGTTTCAGGTGTTTTTCAGCTTTTTCTCGAGTATTTCTTAACCTTTTAGTATGGGGCTGCCATTAAGCGGGTTTTGTGTGCAAAGTCAGGGTTTGGAAACCTTTAGGGGCTTCGAGTGCGTTTCAGCTTTTTGGAGGTGCGTTTCAGGTGCTTTTCAGCTTTTTTGTGGGGTTTTGGCTAGGTCTTCTTGGGCTGCTTCTCTTCGGGTGTCAAAGTAGCTCTTTTGACTGCTCACGGCAGGCCTCGCTGAACGAAGACCCGGCGGCGTGGTCCTCGGTGCCGTGGCCACGTGCTGCCAGCTGCTTTGTTCTGCCAGTGCCAGAGACTTTCTTCTAGAGTTTAGCAGGGCAGCTGTGAGTCGCCGTCGTCCTTCGGCACGTGAGGTTTTGAAAAGGCCCCAAGCAGGAGGAAGCAGAATGCAGCACAAAGTTCAAAGCAGAGTGGCAAGCAACAGCACACGGTAGTCAGCATTCGTTTAAGTCCTTTTGAGACTAGGGGCTTTCCGAGCGAACATGGCAACCGCCGTTCCAGAACGAACGGTGCGTGCCGTCGTTCTGCCGTGCGGAGCAAAGGGCACCTTCAAAGGAGAAGTGTACGAACACACCGCTCGGGTCCAAGCGGACGACGGTCGTTCGACACCGGGCTTCTTCTTTTGGATCTTTCGCTGGATGGTGGACTTTCTCGGAGGGACACCTAGCCACAACTTTGCTGGAAGGAGTCGGGATGCCATCGTCGGTCGGGCGGCGGCCGTGTTGGCGGACGGTTTGTCGTCGTCCGAGACCGAGCAGGACGACGAGCAGGAGAAGGACGAGCAGGAGGACTCGCAGGAGGCAGTTCTGCCGTCTGCGGAGGATCACGTCAGCAAGAGCAGTACGATGACGAAGCACGAGCGGATCCACAAGAGAAAGGCCAAGAGCAAGCAGGTCAAAGAGGAGCCGGCCGAGCCGGGCGTGGTGAAAGAGGAGCCGGACGGGGAGGGCGATAGGCCAGAGGAGGATGATGAGGAGGACGACGACGAGCTAGTGCGAAAGGGCGACTTCTGCCTTTCGTCCTTCGCTTGCATATGCTGGTTGGCTCAGCTGATGGCCAAAGGCCCCAGAGCCAATTCCAAATGGAATTTGGAACCCGCCGAAGTTCGTTCCCGTGCCGAGGCACTGCTGGAAGGAATGCGGGATTCGTTTTGGCAGGACGTTCGAGGTCGTTCGATTGAGGTTGTGCAAGGCCAGCTGGCCGTCGACAAACTCGCGACGGAGTTCGGTCAGGTCGCCGGGAAAATTTTTGGGAAAAAAAAAGTTGT